GCTTCACGGCCCAGGCTCGCGGCAGGGCCCCGGCGCGGGTCCCCCAGAGCCCAGCGCTGGGTCAGCTAGTCTGGACAGAGCCTTGGTTTTGTTTCTTTCCAGACGGTGAAAAGCTCACAAGTCGCTCGCAATTAGATATATCTACACCCTGTGCACACTGGTTTTGCATACAAAGAGTCTGTTCAAATTGTTCAGCAACGATACGGCGAGTACCCCAGAGCCCAGCGCTGGGTCAGCTAGTCTGGACAGAGCCTTGGTTTTGTTTCTTTCCAGACGGTGAAAAGCTCACAAGTCGCTCGCAATTAGATATATCTACACCCTGTGCACACTGGTTTTGCATACAAAGAGTCTGTTCAAATTGTTCAGCAACGATACGGCGAGTAAAAACTAAAGGACCATTGTTTACAGTCTCCATACCCAATCACTTATTTTACACGTACAGAAAAATTTCATATTTTCTTGTTTGCTTTGAAATACATGGCTAATGAATGGCTCTGCTGTGCAATAAAACAGATATATCATGCTGTCCTTCATCCAAGTGAAAACACAGTAAGACTCAAGTGGTTACTTCTGAACAGTGAACTACAGTTCAGGCTATTTCCCTGCTCAAGTACAAAAGTTGAGAGTTACAGCTAAAAGTCTTTTGTTTTTTTTTCTTTTTTCTGCACAAAGTTTAAGCCAAATCTGTCCCGTTGGAGAAAAGACAAATTGAAAGCTCCTTCCATTTACTGGAAAGTATTTTCATTTGGAAATAAAACTTGTTCCACAAGTTACATCCCAGAACCATTTCAAGAGTTTCCCCCCCTCCCCCAGTCTTCTTTAACAGATTTCTTGTCTCTATAGCCATTCTGAAGGCTACCTGAACCATCCTTTTTTTTCCTTTTTTTTTTTCCCTTGGACTCTAGAAGTGCCAGTGTTTAACATTCCAGGTTTCACACTCGGGCTAAAATGTTGGGAAGATCAAACCCTCCGCTTGGCTCTGCTCCTAAACAGAGGTGACAGTCCTCACTTTGGCAGACAAGGCTTGCTTAAACCTTCTCTTCAGGTCCTGCATGTTGGGGGATTTGGGCCGTGGGATGAGCGAGGTTCTCCTTCGCTCGGGCGTGCTGGTGGTTTGCTGTTTGCTGACTTCTTTGCACAGGACGTGGAAAGCGTTGAAGACGTCGTTATAGTTTTCACTGACGGACACTTCGTAGAACGTACAGCCCAGCATGTTGGCCAGCTGCAGTCCGTGCTGAGGCTCCACCTCCTTAACGTGCAGGAGGTCGGCCTTGTTGGCCACGATGACAACGGGAACCGCGTTCCCTGGGTGCAGCTGCCGAACGTGGTGGTAGAGGTGGCTGAGGAGTTCATAGCTCTTATAATCTGTGATGGAGAAGACGATCACGAGCGCGTCTGCCCAGCGAATGCATCTGTTCAGCTGGTCGTTGCAATCCAGGCTGTGTTCATGGATCTGAAAGGCGAATTGTCTGAGTTAGATGGTTGAAATGGCAAAAAAAAAGATTAAAGGAACCTGTTGTCAACATCTGTGAAGCCAAATGCATTTTATACTTTCAGACACATGTATTTGCATTTCAAGTACAAACTTAATCCGAGTGTGGCACATATATGTTTATGTTGATTCAGCTGCAAAAAGCTGGAACTTAACACTGGAGCTTGCTTTACTCAAATGGAAAAAAGGACCTGAGTAGTTCTGCATGCAGAGAAAGACTTTGTAGTTCCAGAGAATGGGAAATTAACTGGCTAGACAGTAAGTCTGGGGAGGCAAAGATATGAGCTGGAAGCATTTAGACCTGGAGAGCTGCCCAGTTCAAAAAGGCAGAAATCCAGCATTACTCAGGTCTATACATTCAAAACTCTTAACTTACAACATCCTAATGAGCTAAGGCACAACACAGGAGACATAAGTTTCCATCATGCACATTTATGAAGCGCATGTTTGCTGGGCTGTAGTCATGACATTTTTCTTCATGTGTACCGCGTTTGCACGCAAACATTTTGTCATCTTACCTAATGTTTCTCATATGTGAGAATACGACACTTAACAAATCCAGCCCTACAGAAGTAATGGGCCTCCAATGTACCAATGATTCACTGAAAGAGTGAATTGTTTTCTTTTACTGCCAGCACATTATGGCACCCGGGACATCTGGTTTGACTGGTTAAAAACAAGCTGCCAGTTCTCCCACGCAAAGCACCAAGCTCCGAAAGGGACAGTGCTGTGTTTTCCAGAGACACCCTAACGAGAGGGAGCACGTGGAGGGACACGCACACGCGGAGCAGAGCCGCCTTGCTGAACGGCACGGCCGTGTCTAGCTCACCTGCACTCCAGGAGTGTCTTGCACTTGGATAGCCAACATTTCGCCATCGATCTGGATGTGTCTGCTGTAGAGATTACCTGATGACAACACCAACAGTGTCACAAGTACAGCCACCGCGCCACAAACAGGCAACCGCTGCTGTGGGAGGGAATCAGAGGAAATAACACCCCACCCCGGGTGCTGGGCAGGGAAAGTGGCATTGCTATCAGCAAACTGAGGGACCCATGTACAAATCTGGTCCTTCTAGCAACCCATAAACCTATGATGTTACCAGAAGCCTGGGATTTAATCTGCACTGGCTTGTTTTGAAGCTTGACATTTAATAATGTGCAGCTTGGAGCTTCATCACTTCTTAAAGGCTGACTTAGGTTTAAAGATAACTGTGCAAAATAATCAACTTTTAACACAGAATAGCCGTTTGTTCATCAACTTCTTTTGCTTTGACAAACCTTTTCTCTGAAAGACTCTGTGTCAGCTCCCTGCTGCCTGACTGGCAAGATTTACTGCCTTGTTGTTCTCCCCCTCCCCCCATACCATCTCCTCAGCAGATTTCTGTGCATTTAAGTTAGTGCTGCTTTACACTGACACTGTGCTGCACTCAGGCAAGTACTAAATGCTGCCTCACCTTCACCATGAAGCTGGCACTGCCCAGGTCTTTTTGCTGCTAGCATTCAGTTCTGGGCTAAAGTATTAGGTTTACACAGTGTTTTCTTGCTTTAGAGAAAGGGTTTCTTCAGAGAAGGATGTTTTCTCCATTTAAAGTAAACTCTGGCAGAGCATGCACGCAGCAAGGGGAGCAGCAGTGGAGCTGTGGAGCCCGCTGCACGTTTGCAGCCTGCTGTGCACCTCGCTGTGCACCTCGCTGTGCGCTGCAGGGGCTGCGGCTCGCACAAGGAGGGAGTCGCCAGCCCCGCGGCTCCTTGGTGGCCGCTTTGCGATGCCCCTGGCCCTAGAAATACCTGCTGCGAGTTGCGCTCCTAGCCCCATCTTTAAGCCCTCTCCTTCTCCCTTAGGGGCCGGCTTTGCACGCGCGTTCCCTGGGCTCGCACCTCCTTTCTAAGCGCTTTGGATACTGTGTCCCGGCGGGACAAAGCGGCGACCGGGATCGCGGCCGGGGCGGGCGGCGCTGCCGGGCGCGCCCCGACGGGACGGGACCGGGACCGGGACCGGGACGGGACGGGTC